CATATTTTATATGTAATATAATATGTATGTCTTTTATAGAGAGACTGGGTATATAACCTTGGATATATATCTCTACTCTCTATTATACTCTTTTAATTATAATAGACTTTAAATTGATTCTATTGGATTATTTAATAAAAATATATCATTTGCAAATAAAAATGATCATTTGTTTTATTTTATTCCACTTTTTTCTGTTTTTTATCTTTTTTCAGATTATCAGAGACAATATTAAATGTGGAATTCTGGTTCCATTTCTAATTTAACATGTATGTTTCTAGCATTTCATCCTTATGCATGATATTGGATATTGATTTGGGATAGAAATCTGTTGATTTATTAAGAAAAGCTTGAGTAATAGTCTTAAAGAGATATTTAAATAGGTAATGAGCATTAAATTCATCAAAGTGCCATTAAAACTTATTGAAACTGGTTCATGGTTTTCCCTATTTGCTCTGTTAATAACATACTGGTATCTTAATGAATTATTTTAATATATTGGCTAATTCTATTAGTTATTTTTTAAATGAACCTCATACCATAAGTAATACAGGTCTCTAGAATACATTTTAATACTGTCTTTGACACATGTAGATATCAGGATTTGTTAATTTTGGAAAATGACCAAGGTCACTTTCTATATATTTTCTGTGGTCCAGAATATTTCATAATGCACAAGAATTATCCATTGCTTTAATCTTAAAGCATTCCTGCTTAACATAATTTGGGTCAAGAGCCTTTAATAACTTCCTTAATTTATCCCTTGGTTATCTTTTATTTGGGTTTCCTTTTTCTTCTTGAGTCAAGATTTTATGTTTTTTTCAGAGAAATTACTTCTTTCATTATGTTTTCATACATATTATACCCATGTGCATAGTATTCTTTTCATTTTTACTTCTCTGTTATCTCTGTAGTTATACCTTTTTTCTTTCTAATTTTACTCATTAGGTTTTCTTATGTCCTTAGAAATTTGGCCACTTTAAAATTTTTTTAAAGACCCAGTTTTAAAATCACCAATTTCTACATTCTCATTATTCCCTTCAGTTGCTTGCCTCAGGTTTAAAGTACTTGTTCTCAATTAATTCTTAAAGTAAATGCACAAAAGACAATCTTTGTCTAAAGAACACATTGACAACATTCCATATGTCCATATGTAATGTTCAGTTTTCATTATTTTTAAACTTGTTTATTTAATTTTTAAAATACCTTATTTTATCAATAGCTATTTGGGGAGACAATTTAAACATTTTCAAGTACTATGAGTTTTTGGCTTTGAACTCCCATTGTTAATTTAAGATGTGTAACTACCATTTTACTATTTCGTTTTGAAATAATTAAAATAAGCAGAAAACTACGGAAAGTAATACGGTATATATTCAGATGTCCATAACCCATAATTGATAGATGTTAACTCTTGTCATGCTTGTTTTAGCAATTATCTTAAAGAAATAAAGTCTTTCATATAAAGTTTGAAACCCACTTTTACATCCTCCACACCTTCTCCTCTCCATGTTTTTCTCTCCAGAGACATCCTCATTCCTGAGGATGGCTTGTATCTTTTCTGTTCATATATGTATATAATTGCCTTTAGGTTTTTAAATTTAAATATTTTTAAATATTTTTTTTACATAAACAGTATAATAAAAAACATTGTGAATCTTGCTTTTCACCCAGCATTATATTTTGATACATAGAGGGCACATTTATTCATTTTAGTAGCCATGTAGGATTCTATCATTTATATGTCCATTCTCCTAGTTGTTCCAGCTGCTGTAATGAACATCTTTATGTTTCCTTATGCATGTGTGTATGTACAAGAGTTCAGGTGCACACCTGAAGGTGGATGTGGTTATTATTACCAAATTACTTTCCTAAGAGGTTTACCAGTTTGCACTCCTGCAAGAAGTTGATGAACATTCCTCTCACCACATGCTTGCTGACAGTATTAATTATTAGAGCATGATATGTTGTCATAGTTTTAATTTGCATTTCCTGAATTCCTAGTGAGATTGGGCATCTTCTAACCATTTACTGGATTTTCTCATTTATGAATTACCCATCCATTTTTTTATTGAGTTATCTTCTCATTGATTTGTAGCCATTATTTATAGGTTCTGGATAGGAGTGGTTTTCCTGTCTAAGTCTTGCAAATACCTTTTCCACATCATCATCTTTTAACTTAGTTTATAATGAGATTTTTTATATACAAGTTTCTATTCTCATGTCAAATTTATCAACCTTTTATAATTTGGTCCTTTTTGTTTCTGTAACATAAAAAAATTATCCTAAAAATATTTTAGGCATTTTGCCTTTCACATTTAGCCCTTTGATCCATTTTTTTTTTTGTATGCTGTTGTGAAGCAAAATGAGGGAGAAAGAATGGATAAAATCATAGGCCTCCATATTACCTGTCCAACGTGAGATAAATGAGAATCGGCCTGTACTTACCTTTGGAAAGAACAGCTGATGAACGGGCTAAGTCATGCCTTCAAAATGTTATCAACAGCATCACTTGCTCCAGCTTATTTAAGAGCTTCTAATGTATATAAAAAAATTTTTTTTCTGGAGGCGGGAATATATGGCAAAATATGTCATTTTTCCTACATGATGGCTAAGATGAGCACCAGCAAATGCAAAGAAATAAATCAACTCCTTCAAGGCTGCCACTTGCCTCAGTCAAGGGGGTGCTGCACCCGAACAAGGAGGACTGGGCAGCAAAGAGGGAGTGGGAAACAGAGACATTGGTTATCTCTTGAGTCTCACAATCATAGTCTGACTACTGTTTAACGTCAGTTTAATGTAGCTTTATTATTTTGTAAGCATTGTAAATTTCCAGATTGAAGGACACATTCAAATGTATATGTGCAAAAGCATTCCAAAACCAAAAATAAATAATTATCTTAGAGTTAGGGGTTCATAGACCCTCTTCCAATCCCTTGCTAGGTCAGCACTAAACAAGGATCAGCCTCCTAGCAGAGCCTTTTTATTGTGCTTTGGTAGAAGTATGCTAACACGACTCTTCCCCATATCTGAGGTTGTGGATGATTTCTTTAATGGACATTTCATATGCTGTTCTTATCCAGCTAAAATATATCTGAGCAAGAAGACTAAACTTGACTGACAATCTAGCTGTTCAGAGAATGCTTCAGGTGCACTCAACTCTGTAATGCAGTAGTACCACTGCCGTGCAGCCCCGAAGAAGTCCCCTGAACTACCCTCCGGAAGGTCTCTTTGCCTTCCCACTGCACTGCCCACTGTGCCAGACAGGGGCACACGCCAGCAGGAGCTTTGCTTGGCCGCTAAAATGCAGATGCAAGAAGAATACATTATATGTATGGTCAACAATAACATGTCATGCGCTTCAACATTTGTGAAAACAATATGAAGACATCATGTCAGAGCACCACATTCTAAAGAAATTAATTTAACAGTTATTTTATTAGGCAAGCTTGGGATAGATATTGATTTATGAGAAGTATATGAAGCGTATCCTCTGAAGAGCTCCAGCATGCCCTAATGCAACTCCGAGCATTGCTTTGATAACCATCTCTTGGGAAAATTAGATGAAAGCTTGCCCTAGGAGTGATTAAGAGATTTGAGATCTATACACCCACATGAAAGCTCAGGATTTTAGGCTTGTACTAATTGTTTCCAACCCTAGGTCCCCAAACTCTGTCTCCACTATTGAGGTATCTTAAAAGATATTGCAAAATGTGCTTCAGGAGTCCCACAGTTGTTTAATTCACACATTACTTCCTACTTCCTAATGTCTGATCCAGATTCTATAAAAGTTAACATTTGAAAACTGAGTTCCACTGTTGTTTAAAACTTTGGAAAAATACTGTGTTCAATGTTTACATTTATTTGAACTGTAACAGACACACAAACCCACTTGTCGAAAAGATTTGAATGCCATATTTTAACGCACTGGAGAGCATTAATGTCTGATCTTGGGCTCTTTAATGAAATCATTTAGGTACAAATTTGAAAATAATGTTTGCTTTGACATCTTTTTGTATGTAATTGAACTTCTTATAAATGCAACATTGATCTTAAAAACTTATGTGACTTTGCATGCATGTCTTTATCAATTATTCAAGACTGCATATCTATCACATTAGATTATACATTCTGTAATAATTTTTACAGTAGGTGTCACATATATTGGGGTTTTCTGGTGCCAGTAGTACCATGCTTCCACCTACAGACAGTATTAGCAGTGAAACCAAATCTTGAACATATATGCAAAACAAAATCCATTTTAATGTTTTAAAACTTTAAGTGACCATTTGATAGAAATATGCATTGAAGTATACAAAGGATTTTTAAAAATAACTACACCTAACATCACATTATGTTAGAAAATAAATTTTAAAATATTTTCTACAAAATACAAAAATCTTTTTGCCAATGTCTCTGAAGTTTGCACACTTCTGTACTTCAATTATGTGAGCAATAGTTAGATGATGTTAATGAATAAAATGCAGGAAAACATCCAGCATCCAGAATCCATTTGATTGCCCCTGAAGATGCAAAATGAGTAGGTTTGAAGAGTGCTATTTGCTCCTATTAAATGAAGAATATTTTCTCCTTATTTTGCAGACAAAACAAAGTACAAAAGTGTATTGAATGTTGAAGCTGATAAAAGACTCAGCTGTCATAACTGCTTGGATAATAACCCTTGCTTTCCAATTATCAGTTTGTCAAAACAGCTTAATTATTTTCTCTGGCTTTATAAAAACATAAAAATTGTTATAAATGGGAGTATATAAGGCAGGTTGAAACCACTACAGTTCTATTTTTAATTTGTTTTACGTATCCAGATTCTGTAAAAGATAACATTTGAAAACTGAATTCCACACTGTTGTTTAAAACTTTGGAAAAATACTGTGTTCAAATAACACAAAAATTAAAAATGCTGGCTTTTAAGTTACACAAGTAAGTGTTAAATATACTTCAACAGTCATCTCTAAGTTTTGCTTGCTTTTGTCATTTTTTAGGCACTGAATACCCAAGACCTAATTCTTGTTTTGAAAATTGCATCTTCCGGAACAGCCAATTTCAGCATTGTCCTCCAGACAACAGATACAAAAAAAAAAAGGTATTTTTACAGTCTGTAGTATTTACCAAGGTTCTTTTGTAGGCTTGCATGTTTGCACTGCCCCTCAGTGGCTTCTCAGTTTCTCCTGGTCCTCTGCCAGTTTGAATAAGGTCTGAACATCTAGCTTAAGTCAGCTGATTAAGTCAGTCGCAGGACTTAGCTGCATTTTCTATTCAGGCTTTATCTGAAGTAGAATTCTCTATTAAACAAGAACAAAGAAACGTGGAGGAATGCTCTCTTTAAACAAGATGCATACTTTAGAGAAAAACTTAGGGGGGAACCAGGTAAGATTGGGTATCGTTCTAACTCGTTTTTAGAGAAAAACTTAGGGGAGGTACCAGGTAAGATAGGGTATTGTTCTCACTCGTCTGGTCAGCTCTATTGTTCATGGTTTGATTTGACTTTGAATTTCCTTTCAAAGTTTGAGTGTCCCTTGCAATCTGATTTTTTCAGTTTTTCTAGGGCTTCTTTAAGGAATCAAAATCTTATCCACCATGCCCAATTATCAAAACCATTGTAGCCTTTGTTCTTCTCAGACCATGTAGACCATAATCTCATCTCCGCTTCAGCCATCTTCTTTCCACTTAAAATTTACAAAGGAAAAAGAGAAAAACTTCATTTGCTTTCTCAAGTTACTGCCTGCTTTCTGTGCTTCTTTATAGGCTTCTCATCCAATAGAAAAGGAGAGATTAAAACATCGACAAGCATGACAGTAATTCTAGCTTGCTTGAGGGGCATCCAAGGATCCTTTTTTAACTGGAATGGAATTTCTTTAATTCCAAGCTTGCCTGCTGCCCTCTGTATGCACATACATGGTCTTCACAGAGTCACAGCTTGCCTTATTTGAAAGGATCTAGGCCTCTTTTCCCAGAATTTTACATTTTAAACAAAAAACACACTTAAAGACAATACAAAAAAATGGTTTTAAATAGAGCAAACTATAATGAAAATGTCTCTTTAAACAAAAAAATACCTTTCATATATATAACAGCTAAAATGACCTTTCTCTTCCCCTCTAATTTCCTGTATCTCTCCCTTAATTCTGTATTCATTTCATGCTACCTAATTGACACAGAGACTGGAATCTGTAATCAGGCTGTAACTATAGACCCTGGTAATTTGCCTCTTTTAATCAAATCAGTAATGTAAAGGATACAGACATCAGTGTTCTTTATGCTTCTGACTAGATCACAGCTCATACCTTGACTCTGACTAGCTGTTAACTTCCACCTCTTATAGAGCACACGAAACCCCAACCTACGCAGCATCAAGGGACATTCAGATTGTTATTATGGAATTTGGTTCAAGTGAACAAATTCCAGAAATCCCAGATAGAACTGGGATAAAGGGGGCACTTGGGGTTCTTTATCAGGTGAGAAAAATGATGGGTGTATAGACAAATAGGAGACAGAAAACACGCTTGGTTAATGGGGATGGCATTGGTAGAGATAGAAACCTTTACATAAGCATGTGTTATCTCCTCCACAGACTGGGGTGTGTGTGTGTGTGTGTGTGTGTGTGTGTGTGTGTGTGTGTGTGTGTGTGTCTTTAGGAAGGTGTGGGTGTTCTGTGGGCAGTTCTGTCTTCAGTTAATTGGGCCATGAAAGAGGTTAAAGGGACTTGAAAGCTCGGTACTTGACTGAGAAGAAAAGAACAGTAATGAACTCAAAAAGACATCAGTTCACTGTTTCTTCCCATTTACAAGACACTGAGACTACAATCAATCACTATTTTTAGAGAAAATAATGATGAACTGAATGGGGATGAGCAAAAAGCCCATGATTTACAGAACTGTTCATCACAGAGGTTAATATAACCAGAGCAACATATTGTCTTCATTATGAATCATAAGAAAATTGCTCATTTCCGTTGACTTTCTTTTGGCTGTGATGCATTACTTATATTTTGCAAGATGACACAAATGGTGTCTTGATGAGCATTTCTGAAAAGAAGTTCTCACTGATTAAAAAATTCAAAGCTTTCTCTGGATGATTCTAAATCATGCCATATTTCCTTTGCCAAATTTTTATAAATCTGGCCTTTAGATATTTTGGGGAACATCAGTATCATGTGAGAAATCACTATGTCTTTGTAGGATCTGTGAAGCCCCGAAATTAGATGCTATATTTGGGGAGATAAGTGTTTATTCCTAAAAAAAAAAAGTCAGAGAAGTGTCATCAGATGTTCAAAAGGGTCTGGAAAAAAATTTTTTTAAATTAAGAAACCCTGTCTTGGGGCTTTAAATGATACCACTTTGCTCTGGGTATACAAGTTTTTTTAACTGCCTTATTCAATGGCCCAGTGTATGTTCTGTTGATTTCCATCAGTGCTTCAGATTCAGGAGAGGGGATGCTCACACTTGATTCTGTGTAGCAGGTGAGAGTCCAATAAAATAAATATATCTATCAAAAAAATTATATTGTGACTGGCAATAACCAAAAAATTAAGGCAACTTTTCTTTTTGCTTTTAAACTTTTAGCAAACTTTCCACAATGATGTTCCTTTGACTATTGTAAGACTAGAGGATGTAATTCATAGTAATCACAATTTTCTGATCCTGTGAGTGAAAGTCACTATAAATAAATACCTAATTTCAGCCGTAATAATAGAAGCGACTGTCAGAGTGACAAAAAAAATACTTAAATCCTTTTGTGGTGTCACCTGACTCCCAGAATAAATCCCAAATTCCTTCCAATAGCTTTGTAACCTAACCACAAGTCTACAGATTTGCCAGTAACAGGGTATCTTGGCCTAGGCACTATGACACTGGGACTCTGTGGCAGGAGACTGTCCTGTGCATGGGTTGATGGTTAGTAGCAGTCCTCAGGCCTCTACCCATTAGATGCCAGTAGCCACCCACCCCCACCCACAAACACACATTTATATTAACCAGAGGTGTCTCTAGACATCGACACATGTCCACTGGGGGCCACAATCACCCCTGGTTGAGACCCACCAACAGTCTTTTAACACCCTCAAGCTTGACTCTCCTACCATAATGAGCTTGAATTTCATATAAGTTCATGTAATGAACTTTCAATTTCAGAATGCATACTGTTCTTTCTCCTCTGTATTTTTGCCCCTTCTATGCCCTTTATGTGTGCAACATTCTCCTTCCTCATTTATGCTTGGCAAACTCTATCTTATCTTCTTTATAGCTTGATCTAGAAGTCTGGGAGAGGTAGGCACAACTTCCACCCCCATGTCCTCTTTCAAGCATGACCCTGCTATATAGAATAGTTGAACATTTGCTT